TAAAAATTTTAAAATGAAAAAGAAATTTTTGGTACTTGCATTTGAGAATGAAACAGGTGAAATAATAATAATAATAATAATAATAATAATAATAATAATAATTTAGTTCAGGGGCTACATAAGGACAATGAAAGGAGCTTATCACATTCATTTTAAAACCGGCTTACCTGATCTGGATTAAATTTTAAATCAGGCAGCATCCTTGGAGGTCTTTAAGCAAAGGCTGGATGGCCATCTGTCAGGGATGCTTTAATTGGGAGTTCCTGCATGGCAGGGGGGGTTGGACTGGATGGCCCTTGTGGTCTCTTCCAACTTTATAATTCTATGATTCTATGATTCTATGACTCTAATATTATCAGAAGGATTTAGCTGCTGAAAAGGCTGCCTGGGTCCATCCTGGGTTCATTCCTGCTCCCAGGGCCATGCTGGTGGCCATTTTCTTAAGCTAGAAAATTTCTACCTTCAAAAAGAGGCACACTGAGCACCCCTGGGAGCGGCGATGGACCGGGGATAGACTCAGGTGGCGATTTCAGTGGCTAAATCCTTTTGATAGCGTCAGGATGCTGCCCAATTTAAAATTTAATCCAGATCAGGTAAGCCGGTTTTAAAATGAATGCGATAAACTTCAAAGTCTCTCAATTTCTCAGGAAGTAACTGCTGCAGCTGATGGGGATCTGTTTCCCTCATGATCAGGAAGCAGTTGACTGCTATTTCCACCCACCTCCTCATGCAAGCAATTTCAAGCACCAGGGGAATTGTAACAGGGACCTTGTTTCTGCCTGTGACAATGGGGATCATTCATGGGAGATAAACTACAGCTAGACTCATTCCAAGCAACAGGGCAACAGACATGCATCAATTGCATTTTCTTCTTCCTGTTAAGTCAGGATTGAGGAAGGGGGTTGAGCCAGGATTCAGCACTGCAATTATGGATTTTTTGCACACATAAGGACCATACAGGATTATAGCTAATAATCATAATCATAATCAGTCTGGGACTTGAGGAGGTTTACAAAGGTTAAAGTAGACACAGCTAACCCCCCCCCCCCAAAAAAAAACAACAACCATGACTTATTATAGGAAAGTTAAAAATATAGTTGGAGACCCAGCATAATGTAATGATTTGAGTGTTAGACACTAACTCTGGAGACCAGGGTTTGATTCACAGCTTGCCCATGAAACCCTCTGGGTAACCTTGGGCAAGTCACATGCTCTCAGCCTCAGGGAAAGGCAATGGAAATCTCCTCTGAACAAATCTGGCCAAGAAAACCCCTTAGGGTTGTCATAAGGAAACAACTTGAAGGCACACAACACAACAACAAAAAATAGTTAAACCAACAATGGTATTAAAAGCATACCCATTAAAAAGAAAATAATAAACAATACATCACTTTATGAAAGGCTCTTCTCCTTTGATTTATGGAATCAAAATAAAGTCTTCCTCTGCCTATAGAAGGATAGCAGGGAGAGAACATACCAGCCTAAGCTCTCAAGGAAGGAAGTTCCAGAGCCTGGAAGCTGCCACCAAGGACATCATGTCCTGTGTTAGGGGAAATCATCTACACCAGACAGGACTGCTTCCCCCACACTCTACACATCTGCGGACAAATTGCTTGAGGAGAAGTGCACTTGAATAGAACATAACTGTAATCACAACCCAAGCAACATTAGGGTTGCTTGTCCCATTGATTTCAATGGGAAAGAAGTGCAGTGAGCTCTTAGTATCTGCTGGGGTTTGGTTCTAGGACCCCCATGGACATCAAAATCAATGGATACTCAAGTCTCATTATATACGATGGCTTAGTAAAATGGTACCCTGTATATAAAATGGCAAAATCATGGTTTGCTTTTTGAATTTTTTATGTGTGCATATTTTCAAGGTGTGGATTGTTGAATCCATGGATGCAGAATCTGTGGATATGGAGGGCTGACTATAGTCAACAGGAACATATGAAACTAGCACTGAGACACATGAGATCTGCCCTATGTTTACTGAGCAATAAGATTTTAGTGGAGTTTAGACTGCACCTCTAAATATGTCTAGGTGTAGCCATGGTGACTATACAGCAAAGTACAATAATATCCAAATGATACTTTTATTGGGCCAACCAAAAAAAAAATCACGAAACACATGATGCAAGCTTTCAAAGCTCCTCTGGCTTCTTCATCAGGCATGGATGTTATTGTATCTCTAAATATGCTTTATTTTAGCTGGATCATGATTTCTTCTTCTTCTTCTTCTTCTTCTTCTTCTTCTTCTTCTTCTTCTTCTTCTTCTTCTTCTTCTTCTTCTTCTTCTTCTTCTCCTCTAGACAATCAAATCCAGTGCCTTTCTCACATTCTTGGTATGGCTTCACAATCCAGGGCTATGGTGGTTGTGCATATAAAACTTTTCTAAGACCATTTGAGGAAAGGAGAAAGAGAGAGAGAGGGAGGGAAATACAGCTGTGGGTGTTTTTATTTTTTGTTTTTAAAAAGCCCCATTAGAGATTAACCTTAAACTCTATTTCTGGTCTGAAAGAGGTGAAGGAATTGTTGCAAGCAGCAAGCAGAAATAAATAAATAAATACATGCAGGGTTGACAAATGAGTTCATTTGCAGTCTGGATTTTGGACACCTTGTCCTTAGTCACCAATGACATTTGATTTGTCCTTTCCCAATGAATAAATAAATAAATAAATAAATATGTGAATAAATAAATATACAAGAACACACCTACTCCAAATCTAGCCGGTGTATTTTTTGTTCCGTTTCAGTCTCAGGTTAAGACCAACAAGGTCTCTCATAAATCTGAACACCCTCCAGTCTTTTCCCAGCAACTTGCTATTTAGACGGAAAGCAAACAAATGTACACTCAGCCTCTTCTCCCTCTCAAAAAAATTATACCTCTGCCACCCTAAATTTAATCACCCTCATGCTACTGTGTGTGTATTTTTTGTGTGAAATGGGTTAGCTGCTTTGAGAACAGAAAGAGGGAGATGGAGAGGCCAAGAGCTATAAACAGCACACACACACTCACACACACAATATTTTACTGGCCACCGCACTATCACTGTGAGTATATACTATACAGGGACATCTGTCAGTGTTAATCAATACACAGGGTGTTAGTCATGGATGATAAATTTGAAAGGGATTATAACAGTAAACAGTGATCAATAGAGACTTTGCTGGAGGAGACACGGAGGAAGGAACTACCTTAAAACGTTACAAGGTTAATAAAACAGGGTGGTCAGTCTTAAAAAAGGAAAAAAAAAAAAGGAAAAAGCTCCAGTGAGACACTTATTTCTGGACTCCTTCTGCAAGGGAGATTAAGGAAAAAGGGAGAAGAGAAGAAAACAGAAGGGTAAGCAAACAAACAAACAAACCAGGCAATTTTGCAAGAGGCAATTGCTACTAAAAGGGGGCATTATTAATTTAGAGCATATTTGCTGATCCTTCTGTTTGGAAGTCACATTCTCCATTAGCACCGAGCGGGAGATGGCTTGCTGGCTAGCATTCCCAAAGCCTCATATTTGCCTCCTTTCTTCCTTTTCTTTCTTTCTTTTTAAAAAATAAACTATTTCCCCTTCTGCCTATACCCGTGACATCACCATAGGCTCATGACTGATCAGGATGTTGCAAATGGTGACTTCATTCCCCGTAAAGAAATTCATCCTGGGTTGCCAAGTTTAAAATAACAGTACAAATATATATATATAAAAGGCAGAGAGGTCTTCCCACTGTTCACCCGTAGATGACTAGAACAATCTGTCTTGTCACCAGAGGTCGTAACAAGGGTTACTACAGGTATATATATACCGTGGGTTTGGATGCTGACGTTTGCAAGCAAATTTTTCTTTAAAAATTATATCTGTCTATCTATCTTTGTGTATGTGTTTTAAAGGGGGAAAAAATGTAGTGTTTATCCAACCCTTCTAGAACCTCCTTGGATCATGTCTCTTGCCAAAATCTTTGGAGTTGCAGCATATATATATATATATATACTGCTGACCTTTCTGTGTCCTTTCTGCCACAGAGTATAAACCATAAGCAGATATATGAAGGCAATTTTTAGTGGTGCCACTTGTATCTGAGTGATTGCACACACTTTACGTTGCTGGCCTGCCAACCTTCCAACCTTTTTGAAGATCTCTATTTCTCTTCAAGGAACTGCGAGAGAGGTGAAAGGAAGTTTAACTGCTTCGCGGACACAAAGCCCTCCAGAGGATGGGGAGACAAGGGAAAGGGAAGAAAGAGAAGAAGGACCTGGGAACCAAAGACCTGGAGAAAAGGGAGAAGCACCTGCCAACATTTTGGCATAAAAGGTGCAGGATTTAACCACTGAGCTCCTTTGTGTTATGATATTGTGCTAGTCTACATGTAAATGTATTATGTGAATTGCTGCAGATTTTCAAACATTTGCATCACTGTTTAATTGTCTTTGCTTTAATGCACAAAAACAAAAACAAATGCCTCTATTTGCCTTCCCTTTGCTTAAAATGCACAGCCAACTGAATCCACACACTGGCCACATGTATGATAATGTATATCTTTGTGAATACTTGTGGATACTCCAGGAGAAACGATGAAGCCTTTTCCTGCAGAGTTTTCAGAGTTTTCCCTTCGCCACAAAAATCTTGAACCCCTTTGAATTGCATCTGGTGTAGTATGAATTGCATCTGGTGTAGTATTTTACTTGCATAGACAAGTCCGTGGTGTCTGTTATGGCAGATTAAAATCATAGAATCATAGAATGGATACAGCATTACTAGAACCAAAGGGGAGTGAAACTCTGGCTGCTGTCACACAGCAGAAACAAAGCAGTTTGACACCACTTTAACTTCCATGGCTCAATGCTATGGAATTCTGAGATTTGTAATTTGGTGGGGCACTAGAGCTCTCTGACAGGGAAGGCTAATTTCTGCAATGAGGCAGTAGCCTGTGCCTTCCTTTGGAAATCCCAAAAGAGAAATCTTTGCAGGTGTAGTTTTCCAGGTAGGGATAGAAGAACTTTAAGAGCCAGTGTGGTATAGTGGTTTGAGCACTGGACTGCAACTCTGGAGACCAAGGTTCAAATCCCTGCTCTGCTGTGGAAACCCACTGGATGACCTTGGGAAACTCTCTCAGCTTCAGAGGAAGGCAAAGGCAAACCCTCTCTGAACAAATCTTGCCAAGAAAATCCCATGATAGGTTCCACCTTAGGGTCATCATAATTTGGAAATGACTTGAAAACACACAACAATAAAAGGACTTGGTTGTTTTGTGCCTTCAAGTTGACCCCGATGTACAACAACCTTTTCATAGGGTTTTGTTGGCAAGATTTATTCAGAAAAAGTTTGTCGTTGCCTTCCTCTGAGGCTGAGAGAACAGGACTCGCTCAAAGTCAACCAGTCATTTTCCATGGTGAGCAGGGATATGAACCCTGGTCTACCAGAGTTCTATCAAATCTGGCTCCTAGAAAAATTGTGTATATATGTGCCTCCAAGTAATCTGTTGACATGCTTATCTCATGACTATGATAGGGTATTTTTTTAGGCAAAGAATACTCAGGGATAGTTTTGCCAGTTCTTTCTTCTGAAATATAGCCTACAGCACCTGGTATGTATTGGTGGTCTCCCATCCATGTACTAATTAGGGCTGACCCTGCTTAGCTTTCATGGAGAACCATGAAAAAAACAGGAATCTCATCTCCTTCCTTCCTTCCTTCCTTCCTTCCTTCCTTCCTTCCTTCCTTCCTTCCTGTTTTTGGCCAACATATCAGAGGGCCCCAAGCAGAGTTCCAACCCAGCCAATGATCGGCCACAAGGATGCACCCTGGTGTCACCTGGTTGCCTTTCCCTATGTGGAGAAGAACCTTTGTCTGTCCCCTCAACAAAAGCAAAAGTCCCTTGTAAGTCTCTTATTGTATGATTCTGACTTTTCCTCTTTCTCACTCTTATCTTTTTTGGTCTTTAAAGGACTATAAAGTGGGCCCTTGGTATCTCCTGGGGTTTAGTTCCAATACCCCCTTTGGATACCAAAATCCATGGATGGTCAAGTCCCATTAAATATAATGGCATAGTGAAATGGTGCCCCTTATATAAAATAGCAAAATCAAGTTTTGCTTTTGGGAATGCATATTTTTTTAAAAAAATATTTTCAAGTTGTGAATGATTGAACCCATGGATAAAGAATCTATGGATATAGGTGTGTGTGTGAGACTGCACCTGTAATTCTTGTTGATTTCCTCTTTCACTATATTTAGAGCAAAGAAAGTTTCTCCACACATATACCTCCCATCCTCTTGATTCTTCCTCCTCTGAAAAAATCTTACTCATCACAGAATCCAGTTCCTCTGTGACAATCCCTCTCCTTCTTCCTTGCCTCCTACATCCTTCTTATCTACTTCCCAAGTCCAGCTGATGGCCAGGGATCTTGCAGGTCTCTCATTCATAGGGTTGTCATAAGTTGACGATGACTTGATGTCAGATAATAACAACAGAAAGTCCAATATCTGCCTTCCCATTTATAGCACCAAGTCCCTTTTATCCCCTGGTCCTTGCAAATATTCAGTGACATCACAGGAGCCCAGCCAGTGGTTAGTATCAGCTGCTAGGGAGACAATAGCCATTGTGTAATTGATTGTGCCAATAAAATAGGAAAGACACTGAGGACTGGGAGATCTTCCACCTTGGCAGGGGGGCTATCCTAATTAAGTCTTGGCAGGCCTGCCTACAAATATGATTAGCAAAACCAGCCATTTCCAGCTCTGTTCACAGCTAGCCTTGATTCTTCTTAAATCTCTAGACACCTTCATGGCAAGGTTGTTTTGAGCGGACTTGATGTGTTCAGTTGTGCAGCAAATGCAGCAGGCTATAGGGACTGAATGTTTTGTTAATAAAAGGTCCCCAAGAAGAACAAAGAAGACCTGCTGTGCTAAGTATTGATCCCAGGAAATTGGGAGTTGTTTGTCTCGCATACATGCAATGCTCGTACAATACATGGAGATGCTGTTTCGTTGCTCTTGGCAGTAACTTTACTTAAACCTTCCAACCAAACATGGGTCATTTCCATCTCATATTCAGATGCTGTCAAGCCCATGGAATGATTCTAAACCAAGTCCAGTCTATCTAATTTATTATTTGATTTTACTTATTCAATTTATATCCCCCTTCTCCCTGTGCAGGACTCAATCCAAGTGTGGAGGAGTTGCATTTTTTATATAGATGGGGAGGGAGGGTTTAAAATATTTACCAGGGGTAAAAAAAAGATGGAAAATGGCCCTCAAATGCCCTGAAACACTATGTAAAGGGGCTCAAAAGAGCCCCAAAAGAAGTCAGAACAGGAAGTTAATTCTGGGTCTCTTCCTGCCATAATAAATGGCCTCTGTTGTTTCCCCCCAAAACATGATGAAAATCTTCCATATCCCTTAGAGCAGGGGTAGGCAACCTTTCCCCTTTAAGGGCTGAGGGACTTCAGCTCCCAGAATCCCAGGAGCTATTGGCCAACATGGGATTATTGGTCAACATGGCTGAGGCTTCTGGGAGCTGAAGTCCCTCGGCCCTTAAAGGGGAAAGGTTGCCTACCCCTGCTTCAGAGGATGGAGCTTATCACATTACCTTTTAAGTTGAAATTAGCCTCCCAGGATGCAGCCAGGAGGCGGCGTGAAGGTAGGAATTATTGCATTGTAATTCACCACCAAATTGCTAGGCGACTGCAGCCCGGGTCTCAGCCACACTCAGCCGGCACTTTTTGAAATTAGAAAACTCCCGAGTTTTCAATGGCAGCTGGCTGAATGCGGCTGGGACCTGGGCTGCAGTAGTCCAGAGATTCCCGCCTCCACGCTGCATCCCAGCTGCATCCCGGGAGGCTAATTTCAATTTAAAAGGTAATGTGGTAAGCTCTGATGTTTGTATCACATACATGTAACTCCTTTACCATAGATAGAAATGCTCTGGGTTGCTCCTTGGAGTAAGTGTACTTAAACTTTTCAACCAAGCTTGACAAAGAATCCCCCAGCCAGTGTATAGGGGATCAAACAAAGAAGTGACTCTTCTTTTTCTTCTTCCTCATCCTCTTCCTCTCTACTTCTTCTTCTTCTTCTTATTATTACACTTGTCCCTCCACATTTGTGGCTTTGACTTTTGCAGATATGATTATTCCAGGATTTTATTAATGTGTTCTCTTTAGGAATATCTAAGTCCTCCAGTGCAACCCTCTGGTCAACTTTAACCAAAAATCTCACTGAAGGACCTAGAGATTCCTAGAGAGAACACTCCACTAGGCATTTGTAGCCCCTCCAGTGTAATTCTGTGGTCAATGTCTGGCAGATGTTAACCTCAGAGTTGCACTGGAGGACCTAGATATTTCTAGATAAGGGTGTTCTCTCAGGTAAAAACATAGTGTTTTTGTTATTTGCAGTTTTTCAACATTCATGGGGGTCCTGTGCCCCTAACCCCAGTGGATGTGGAGGAATGAGTGGATTACTATTTATTTCACTTCTATGCCACCTTTCTCCCAAAAAGGGAACCAAGGTGTCTCACAAGATAAAACATTATGAAAACGTAAAATTAAAACAATAACATTTTTAAAAACTATTAAAATCATCTAGTTAAAATAATATAAATTCAATACAAAACATACAAAAGTTAGAAATATAACTAAAACACACACCCTAAGCTCTGTTTTTGAAAGGTTTTGCACCTATAGTGGTTGCAATCCATGTCCCCTGTCCAGTTTGCATGTCCGGGGTGTTTTGACATTATGAGACAATAAACCATTTCCCTGCCACTGTCTAGCTTATGTATTTGGACCACTGTGACATTGGTTCAGAGTGCAAAAAACAAACAAACAACAACAACCCCCCCCCAAAAACCCTGCTCCTATTAGTGTTTTTTTTTTTTTTTTTTTTTTGCCGTGCTTTTCTTAGAAGTACATCTGTCCTATTGGGGGAATATTAAGGGTGAAAAGAAGCAAATGCTAAAGGAAAGGCGAACCAATTGAGCAGAGCATGTGAAATTACATTAGAAAAAAAAGAATTACCATATATACTTGTGTGCAAGTCAACATCATGTATAAGCCGAGGAAGGTTTCATGGTCAAAATCCGGGAATTTGATATGACCTGTGGATAAGCTGAAGGTAAAACTTAGGGGGCTAAGAGAGGCAAGTAGATATAAACAGAGAGTGATTTCCATAGGAAGCAAGGTTTTGCAAAATGGAGTAGAGAGAGAGGCAAGTGGATTTAACCAGAGAGTGTTTCCCATAGGAAGCACAGTTTTGCAAACTGGACCAGAGAGAGAGAGTGAGAGAGAGACAAGTGGGTTTAGACAGAGAGTGTTTTCCATAGGAAGCAAGTTCTTGCAAAATGGACCAGAGAGAGAGGCAAGTGGATTTAGCTGGAGGGTGTTTTCCATAGGAAGCAAGTTCTTGCAACATGGATCAAAGAGAGAGGCAAGTGGATTTAGCTGGAGAGTGTTTTCCATAGGAAGCAAGGTTTTGCGAAAAGGAGTAGAGAGAGAGGCAAGTGGATTTAACTGGAGAGTGTTTTCCATAGGAAGCAAGGTCTTGCAAAATGGACTGGGGAGGGAAGGAACTGGTGTTAAATGGAGAGTGGGGCATCATGCTTGCTTTTTTAAGGACCTTTCTGGGTATTGCTGGTATATTGACCCATATATAAGTTGACCCAGGATTTTAGGGTCAATTTTGAGGCATAAATTTCTCGACTTATTGCCGAGTATATGTGGCAGTTAAAGATATACAGCCCCCCCATATAAAGATATGCAGCATTGCAGAATTCTGCAGCCAGAAATGCAATCATCCATGACTTGAATATATTTTTAACAATCCAAAAGCAAATCTTGATTATTGCCATTTTATATAAGTGATGCCATTTTTTCAATGCCATTGCATACAAAGGAACTTGAGCAGTGGTAGATTTTGGTATTCACAGGGGGGTTGTGCAACCAAACCACAGTGGACACCATGTTGGGAACAATGTTCCTTTAAGATGTTGTAAAATAGTTTGTATGGCTGTAAATGATAAGTAGCACCAGGTGTCAACCTTTAGTCATCACCACTGTATATAAGTGCTCTAAAACCCAAGGCAGTTGT